TTTTGTCTATGGACCTTTAATTGTATTGTATTTGCAACATAATTTATTTTTTCCCTATTAATACGTTTAGGTATATTTGTAGTATTAAATTGATCAATTGTAAATATTGTATGAAACTAACATTTTAATTGATTAGCTTAATAAAGATACCTAAGTAATTTATATTTTTATTACTCCTTAGGCCGTTAATGTCTTCGTTCTATGATACTATGAGGTGGCACGCTCTATTTTCAAAATGACAGGTGACCGCGATTACCAACTGTCACCTCTAGTACTGTCAAAATTCAACAAAATACTAAAGGTAGTAGTAACATTTAATCGCGCTCGCGCTAGAGCAACGATCACTTTTCGGTCTGACTTCGGTCCTATTGAAGAATAATAATTTTACGCATCTTACACACAGTTGTCTGATCCCAAACTAGGCAAAGCTGCAGAGCCTGTACTACGGTAACCTGATCCGAATCAGATCCAAACCCGTGAAAATACGGATCAAAAAATCTCTGGCTGAATTCCGATATTGCTTTTCACACTACCTCCGAATTCTTATTCGTGATTACGTTATTTTAGACTGAGTCACTGACTGAATTCGTATACAGTTTATGCAATCTGATTCTAATTCAACAATTCAGGGGTCACCTTTTAGCATACGTTATTTTACGCGGGGGCTTTCATATTCGGGGGGGGGGGGGGGAGTGTAAACCTATAAAAAGCTGAGAAAGAGCCGTAGCGTACGCGTTGGTGTGCAAACGCCAACGCCCACCTACAAGTTCATCTTACACGTCCACGCCACCGCTAAGATGCCGTCGCAGCGAGGCGGTGGACCCACACTTTGGGTCATCCCATCCCCCGGGCAATGCCCTTCCCTAATTCAAGCTTTGCACTTAACATCTACCTCGTGGCCTTGATAGCTAAGTAAGAAGAGCGATACGCGAGCAATCGACGCCCTGAAACTGATCACCTAGGGAGACAACCCTGACAGAAAAACCAGTGTGTGGCCCGAAAGGGTCGCCAAAGAACCTAAAGCCTTTCATAGGAACGCGGGTTCAAAGTTCGCCATTTGAACCTCAAAGAAGATCAACCTCTTAAAAAAAAGCCTTCAATCCTACGGTGCGGTCAGTGCCAAGAGGATGAATGACTGACAGGAAAGCCAACTTCCAAGCCACCAAACCCGACGTACCAGGCGACCCGTTGGTTTAAATAGCCTTCTGATGGGAATGAGCGTCACCTCAGTAGTGACCGTTTATATCGACACTACTCGTGGGAACAAAAATTAATGATATAAATATAAAGCAAACAAACACTACAAACATCTCGAGCACAAACGTGCTCACCCATCAAATATTCCATTAAGGAATGTTTGAAAAGAGCCATCGGACTAACTCACTAAACGATATCTTAGTGCCTACAACTCAAGAGTTGAAAAATAATAGTGAGCCACAGGATAAACAAGCCAGGGACAAAGTAAACTGACGGGAATGAAAAGATTACGGACAAGCCCTAATAGCAATAAAGGACCCGCAAAATAAACCAAACTGAATACATATTGTTAACTCAAACTCAACCAATACTTACCAGTAACAGTTTTGCACAACTCGTAGTCGACTATACTACAGATCCAGAGACAGAACCAAAAGAGAAGCTTATCATGCCTCCACCGATATTTGTTGATAAGTACAGAATATACAACCACTTATTAGCCTATTAAATAATCATCTGCAAAATAATTATGAACTTAAAGTCCTCAACAACGAACAAGTTAACATACAACCAAAACCACCAGATGCATTTAGAGAAATTGTTAAACAGCTTGAACTAAAATGTACAAAGATTTACACGTACAAGCCCAAACATGAACGAAGTTTCAAAGTGGTTTTTAAAAATATCCACCAATCAACTAACTTAAACGATATAATAATAATAATAAGGTTTATTTGTCTCAAAAAGGTAAATAGGTACATAGGTTTGTTATGCTACTATAATAAAAATAACATACATGACACCTTAGTGAGAGCTGGAGTTTGTAGTAGGTTCGAAACCTGTGTGACAAATAGCCAGGATATAAAATTAGAACCCATAGAACTAAGCCTGTGTCTGTGTCAACATTTGGAATATTAAACAACGAAAAACTAAAAAGCCACTGCCAATATTTATTGTCGAACTAAAACCGCAGGAAATCAACAAAAATATGTACCACAAAAGTACCTTTAAAATGTAAAATAACCTTTGAACCCCCTCGCCTTAAGCAGGACAGATACCAAATGTGCTAATTTCAACAATACGGTCACACAAAGGCTTATTGCCGTCGAAACCCGAAATGCTTTAAGTGCCCTGGACATCACCTATTCGTAGACTGCCCTAGAAAAACAAGATCTAACGAAGTGAAATGCGTTCTATGTGAAGGCAATCACCCTGCTTAACTGCTGCGCCAATTACAGAATTGAGGCCCTGCACAGCTGCATTCTTAGACATCTCACAGGCCTTTGATCGCGTTTGGCATGACAACTGTTTATGATTAAAAAAAATCGGTGCCAATCGAGTACTACAACTTTATTAGATCGTATTTAGAAAACAGACATTTCTTTGTAAAACATGACGAAGAAGTAACAGCACTATGTCCAATCCATGCAAGCGTACCGCAGGGCAGCGTAATGGGTCCTACCTTGTATCTTCTGTATAATGCAGATCTGTCGACTTCCAAGGCCACACAGCAGGTGTAACAACCACTTTCGCCGACGACACAGCCGTTCTGGTAGCTGACGAACTCCCAGAAAAATCCAACCGAAAACTCCAAAATAGCCTTGACAATATCGCGAAATGGCTTTAAGATTGGCGTATCAAGGCGAATGAATCCAAATCGGTAAAAGTGACATTCACCACTCGACGTGACATTTGCCCTCCAGTCACATTAAACGGAGTTCAAGTCCCCGACCACGACGAGGCATAGTATATGGGAATGTACCTATACAAGAGACTCACATGGAGAAAATACATCTTTACCAAAAGACTAGCAATGGGAAAACAGGTCAGAAAAATGTACTGGATGTTGCACAAGAAGTCTCAGTTGTCAATGATAAATAAGTCACTCATAAAGCCATAATTAAACCCATATGGTGCTACGGTCTGCAACTATGGAGTACAGCAGCAAACTCGAACGTAGAAATCCTGCAAAGATTTCAATCTAAAATGCTACGCATGATAGCAAACACCTTGATACATAACAAATGATAAAGTACGCCACGACCTTAACATTAAAACAGTCAAGGAGGAAATAAAGGAAACAATGACTAAATACAAAACAAGAATCACACACCACCCTAATGTACTTGCAAAGGATCTAATAAACAAAGTGCAAATGCCACGAATGCTCAAACGCAAACAAGATCTATTATTGTGAGGTTGTAGATTGCATAAGAATAAAGCGATACTGTTTATGAACAATCTCGCACCAGCCCAAGACCTGCAAATACCAACCTAATGCTGAATATCGCCAAATAGATTGAATTATAAATAAAATTTAAAAAAAGCGGAGCCACAAAAGAGGAGCGTTCACGTCGTTGATCATGAGACCTTTCCACAGGCCTCAACTTCTAGCAATTCTATGGCACGTACGAACAACAGAGAACAAGGCAAGAACTATGGGTTTGTTCAAAATAATAGTATGGCTACTTTGGTTTATCAATAATCCTTTCCAGAATGGACATTCACGGATAACAATCAAAACAAAAAAGAAATCGAATGACGGAAGTTGGATATAGTTGGTTAACTACAATAGAAATAGTTCTAAAACTACTTCGGACTAAATTTTCACAGATTTAGATCGGATTCTGATTGGAGGTAGTGAGAAACCGCTCTCACAGATAAATTTTTATCTTTTATCTTTTTTTTTATCTTTTAAAAAGACAACTTCTGCACTAGGAATAAATCCTGTGTTGCGGGGGACTTTACAAACATACATGAAACGGACACAAAAAACACCCAGACTCAGAACAACAATTTGTAAATCACACAAAGTGTAGTCCCATGTGTGGATCGGACCCACAGCACTCAGCATAGTAGTGAGCGAGGTGGCAACCACTTAAACCACTACACCATCCGTGCAGTAAATATCTCAGTGCTATATCTGTTAATCAGAAAATTTTGATTTGTTCAAGTGGAAACTGTGTAGTCACTTATTTAGCTCGGACAACTGAAAAACTGATGAATAATGATGATGATAATATTAATATATTAATTTGACTGCACGGATGGCGTAGTGGTTTAAGCGGTCACCACGCCACTTCCTACTACGCCGAGTGTTGTGGGTTCAAACCCCACATGGGACGACACTTTGTGTGATCCACAAATTGTTGTTCTGAGTCTGGGTGTTCTTTGTGTCCGTTTCATGTATGTTTGTAAAGTCCCCCGCGACAGAGGATATGTTCCTAATGCGGGAGTTGTCTTTTTAAATAATAAAAAAAAAAAAAAAAAAAAAATATCTAATACATAAGTTTTAAAAAAAAATTGTTAAATTCGCATGCTATCTTCATGGCTAAATGGGCCTGTTCGCATTATATTAAACCTTTAGTACCACCCCATTTATAGCAAATATATAATTTGAATTTGACATGCCATGCTCGCAGATGTCTTGCTATGTCCTGCAGTGTGTATGAGTTGGGTCATCCAGCTTTCATCAATTTATTTTATACCCGCTTGGCTAAGGAGGGGGTGGTTTTATTATGTTTCCAAGTCCTCCAATTTTCTTTTGGTTCATGAAAATATGTGTTTTGAAAATGTCAAAATTTACACCAATATAGAACTTAGGAGTTAATGCCAACAATGTAATGCTTGGGATTGGCTCTTTTTCTCTGAATGATCTCTTCTTGGGGACAGTTGGCTTCTATCCTTAATGAGACAATAATAACTAAAATAAAATCCATAATAGAACAAATTGTGTATAATTAATATAAAAACTAAACTTAAACTATTTATTATTATAATTATTTTAAATAGGAATGTTTATTTCACCATCTTAGTCCCTTTTCATGCAAGTCTTTTTTGGCCTCTTTTATTTCCTCCTGCAGCTCTTTAGCGGCGGCCTCGCAATTGTTAAAAGTAAACACGCGGTATAACACTACTGTGACAGCGTATAAGCCGAAGAGGATCACGAATATAAGAGGAGAAATGAGAATGAGAGTCATATTCTTTTCAATCAGTGGGTGCTTCACGTAACCTCCGATCAACGAATACCATACCGCAAACAGTGCTGAGAACACTGAAACCCATTCTAATAGCTTAGTCATAGCTCTGTAACAAATATAATGTATTTGATTACAAGTAAAGAAACACGAACATATGAATGCTACTATAATACTATACGTAGTCCATTATTACGTGCTATAGTGATGTTACCTGTATTAAGATCTAGGAGGAATAATGACTCGAGGTTTTAGCCTTTTAATTTAGTTGTTTGAAAACGTTTGATAGCGCAATATTTTTAATCTTATCGGCACATTTACTTTTCGGTTTTCATGAGACGTGTTTGACAGACTGATGACGTTGACGTAAAGTAAAATATTTTCTTGTAGTCAGTGCTGCCAACAGTTAAATTAACTGACCTGATTCAACATCTAAAACCATCAGAAAAACAAAACGAACATCGTCCCTGCTCTAATAATCGTTAAATTTTTCACTATACATTTTTTTGTTAAATGAAAACAATAAGTATATTAACAATTATTTTCCTATATTAATATGTAACACTAAAACTAACTGTCAATAAAGGAACATACGAATAAAAGTAGTAAATCAACAAGTCAAGATAGAAACAAACAAAATATTTATTAATAACAGTAACTTATTTTAAATTAATTTGTCTTCTTTAGATGAATCATTTCTGTTTGCACTATCATCGTCGGTTTCAGATTGATACGATTCTTTTGCACCGATTTGCTTTACAACGTTTTTTTGGAATATTATATTCGTTGTAGCCATTTTCCTTTCAACCTCTAACCACAGCGTATTCTTAACAGAACATTTAAAAAAAATACTTAATTCTATTCCTCTGCTTGTCTTTTAGTAGGTACATTCTTACTACTAAATAGTCGCTAAACATCAGCATTGGTATAATTCCTCAAATCTCGAAATCCCTTTGTTCTTCTTTGGAATGCAATACTTCCAGTATGTGGAACATGATAGAACACTAAACACGATGGCCATTAGTAGACAACAACGAATCTAATTTCGATCGACTATTGGTTTGAATGATATCAATCTTAATTTCTCTTCTACTACTTAACTGGTCCATCAAACCAAGAGTCGGACCCTTAACTATATCGCTAGTCTGCCCAGACCCAAATGCATTCCGGGGCATCAAGGAGATGTCTGTCCATTTTAATACATGACATTAATGCAATGAGGACGACGTTAGCCGTAGGATGATAGTTACCATCCTGGCTTACGTCCTCAAGAACAAGCTTCGACTGCGTCAGCCTCTTTTGCAAACCAAAATGTTTACTATGTAACCAAAGTAGTTACTCTACGTAATGCAGATAAAAATAAACTAAAATGTAATAGTGATTATCCAGTTTTTACTGTAAGAATAGGAAAAACTGTGTAAGGATGTGTAAGTACACATTTAAAGTTTTCATTATTTTGTAAACACTTCATAAATATTTCATTAGGTTTAAAAACTGTCACCAAAGTTATAAAATTTTCTTAGTTTATGTACAAACTACAAAATTCATCATCTGCCTACCATTATCCCAATGTTATTTGGGGTCGGCGCAGTATATAATATTTTTCTTCCTTTCTACTCTATAATTCGTCATTTCACTGTTCACTTCCATCCTAGCCATAAACTCTGTCATATAGTCCATCCACCTTTTCTTTAGTCTTCCTCTTCTCTTGTACCCTTTAATTCCCATACCTGATACCTTCCTTGCCACATTTTCCTCATCCCTCCGCATGACATGTCCATATCAAGAAAACCTTTTACTTCTCATTTTTTCATACAGTGCCGCTACTTTCAGACTCCCTCATATATACACACACTCCAAACTACAAAATTCTTGAAAAAATGTACTTAGTATAATTCGAGACCCCACATGCACTTACCCGTTTGCTTAAAAGCCTATAGGCTAAACCTCAGAGACGTCAAAATTGTATCTGCCATTAAAAATTAAAAACACAATAACACAAACAACCGATGTGAAAGCATCGAGCATTGAATTTCTTTGTAAATTTTTCTTAAAATCAAAATGAACGAAGCTGACAATAAATTCTATTACGTATATAGTTCCGATTTAGAACACAAGTTCGAGATAAAAATGTAAGTCTAGTTTCCATGTTTTATATTACTGCAATCCAGATTTCTTAATGTAAAATTACCACAATGATTTCCGTAAAAAGGTCAAGTGCATATTACTTTCTTCTCTAAAATATGAATTACAACGCCTAAAATTATAGCCCAGAGCAAGAATGCTTTTAATAATACTTATGTGTTAAGATAATAACACTAAACAGATTGGTAACTTAAAAATGTATCTCTTTTGAAGAAGTCCAAGGTGTTCCTGCTTTAAAAACGTTATGATACATATAGTTTAACCTCTTTTCGAAATGTTATCTATTTAAGGCAAAGATTCTTTTCTTAAATCCTTTCTGGCCTTTGTTCTAACAACCATCCATGTGGTAATTCTGTGACATGTGGTGTTTTTTTTTAACCATTCCATATGGTTAAGGTAACTCAGGTAAACCTCCTTTCTAAGGAGAGGCCTGTGTCCAGCAGTGGACTATTAAAGGCTGTTGATGTGATGATGTGATGTGAAGGTTACTCACAATGTACATATTTTTATGTATCATTGAAGGTAAGTTGAGATAAGATATAATACAATGATGGAATTCGCAAATATTTACTAAACACCAGAATATTAAAATGAAAAACGTCTAGAAATTTACACTTACAAATATTATGTTTTTAAAATGAAAATGGATTGAAAATAACAAAATTATTTTCGTTCTGTTTTTTTTTTACAAACACCCTCTTTCTAAAAAATAACACTAAGAATAAAAAGTAACGTCTTGGTTGTGGGCTTCAGTTTCCACATTTAGACTCAAGAGTGGTCCTTTATGCGTCGAGGATTGGTTATGGAAAGTAAAGTCTTTATCATGGGTTTCATTATTTTATTTTAACATTTAATATCCATTTTGAAAAACATTAATGTAATGACTTTTTTTTATATTAGAGGGGGCAGACGAGCAGACTTGTCTAAGTGCAAGTGGTTATGTGACAAAACAAATAAAATTCCTCTATATCTGACACAGTGTGTAAACCATCACTCCCCGGCAGTTCTTAGCTTAACTTCTAAGCAAAATTCTTCTTTTCCCCTCTATTGCAGTAGTAAAAAATTTCAAAATCGGAAAACACATTAATAAAAACTTGTTATGGATAGTAGGAGCCCTTTTTTTTTATTGACGGGGTGGAAATACCTTTGGGTCTCCTGATCCTCGGGACTATGGAAGGACCCGGACCATGTTATTTCAGGTCCTCCCTGAAGTGACACCATGCCTAATCAGGCCCTATCCCAGGGAAAACGCTTCCCTCCTCAATCGCGGCGTGGCGGCCCAATTGCGTCCTAATGCAATCAGGCTGCCATTCTATCCCCTACTGCAGCAATCAATCTGCCACCAGAGGTCCCCACTCTCTGTAGGCCCGCGGCCCCGTCGACGGCTAGTATCGTCGCGGACGTCCTCTACGTTCGGGATCGGCCCTCTCCCGATCCCGTTCAGCGGTCTTTTTCTGGAGCAATACACCTTCACAGAAAGAAACCACTACGCTCCATCCCTCCTCCTCACCCGCCAGTATGGTATGATTGCTGGCGGATTGTCTCGTACAATTTGGCCGACCAAGACTTCGCGTTCAGACGCCTACGCGTCTTTCAGTCTTCCAGCGTGTGCTGGACGGAGTCAAAGTCGGCTGCGCAGTGCTGGCATTGTGCCGTCGCCTCGCGTCCAATACGACTCGGGTACTCACCGAAGCAGCCATGCCCAATGAGTACCTGCGTCAGTCGGTAGGTGACGCGACCTCCTTCCCTATCTAACCACGCTTCGAGGTTAGGCGTATTAGCACCGACAGCGCGTTGGCGCGCATTCCGCGGCTGTTCCAGCGGAATGTCGGTGAACAAGGAAATTGGAGCCCTAAAAAGCCTGACAATATTCTTTCTACGGAATTTCTATATAGCCTAGTACATGGGTTGTGGAGGTCTGAGGGTAGTCGTTCTTTGTATAAAATCGAAGTTAAGCCGTATCATAATAGTTTAGGAAGAAGGCTATGAGGAAAATTTAATAAAACCTTAATTTTTTAATATTCTCTGATATCAAACAGCTAATTATTTTCTTCAGAATAAAACCCAAAAATATGTTTTAAATCAAAGTATACCTATTTGGTAATAAGCATTTTTATCTACTTATCCATATTACTGTTGACTCGGCATGGCTTTTATTAAGATCGCACCAGGGCAGTGGGGTTATCTGTAAAATATGTTTTATCATTAGACGTCATAGTTTTATTATAACTCTTCAGCAAGTATAGGGAGATAGGAGTAATAGCCCTTTTATCTTTCACTAGAGCTAATTGTGAGACCATTAAAAAAAAGGGCACAGGTGGCCCTAATTGTAAAGTAGCCTTTGCAATAAGGCCACCTGTGCTGTTTTGCCTAATGTCTGCATATAGGTACTATTAGTCTATTATATATTTTCTGCCATACCATTCTCTGACATATTTCCTATCTGCTGTCCACGGCCGAGGTACGTCACGGGCTCTGAACGTGGATCATTTAGCTCAGACCACTGTGTCTGAGGCTGGCAAGTTTTACCGTAAACCTTTATTTCAGTGGAACTTTGGAAGGTACACGGCCCAAGCCAGACTATGAACAACTCCTCGCCGACCCAATGCTGAAGTTCTCTGGTCTCTACGAGGAAGGATGTGCCGACTTGTATGTGTCTTGTCAAGTATTAAGCGATGGAGAGCCCCTTGCCTTGCCGAGCATAACATCTTACAAGGCCTTTACTAACAGATGGAAGTGAGTAAAGATTCATGTAATGTAACTATATCTAGGTATAACAGTAGACAACTTAGTGGAGTAACTTAATGGAGGAGCAGATTTAAGATAACTTTTCAAGTGCTAAACCTATAAATATACCTAACTTGGCGTCCAGTCAAGGATCATGTATGCATAATATACGTCAATAGGAGAAGGTCGTAAGTAGAACTAGTTATAATGCTATAACTTCATAAAAGTGGTGC